TTTTCTGCTGTACGAATAACGAATTCATCAGTTACCGGGTCAAATACCATTTATCGGTGCCTTGTAATTATTTTGCTTACTCTTTGATCCTGCTGTGCTGATTAAGCACATGTTTCTTATGGGAAATTTCGGCCCCCTGTGAATAGTGTGCATGATTTTAGTCAGTTCCTTCTTTTTTTTTCACTCTTAAAGCGGTTTTATTCAACCTAAAAAATCGTTGTTCAAAACAGCGCGGACCAGTTTTGAATATCGAAAGTCATCCTTCACTTTTGGGTTTATTTCTTCCTCGAATACCCGGAACCCTTGTAGATTTAATCACACCTTAGAACGCTGGATAATTTTGCTAAACAAGGACAACTTTTCTTCGTCCTTATGTACTTTAAGATCCACGAAGACACATTGTTTGGAAGCCGTTTGGGTTTATCGGCGGATTCAAGCTGTAGCGAGCTAATGGATATTGCTTATGCTGGAATCACTATCGAATATACAAAGGGTAATTAAAATTTATAATTTGGCTTCTCCTATTTCTTGAATTTTAATTTTATTAAACAGCAACAATAATAGAAATAATGACAATAATGTTTCTTTCGAAGATTTCGATAATAAGCATCAACTTTTACCTTGATGCTTCCGATAATGGTAATAACAAAATCCAGTTTGTTGAAAAACTGAAAGTCATAATCTTAAAGGATTGCCGATAAAGGCGCGGTGCCATTTTCTACCATTTTTGAGGCACAAGCATCACTCATCCAAGCAACAGCAATGGATATCGATGGTCGCTGGCTCTATTCATCGGTTTCAGAAAGGTATGCTTTTTTGCTGAAATCGAACGTGGTATCTGTCTGTCCTAAACTTACCTGAGTCAACTTAATTCTTGAAGTGACTACTATTCCACGGCAGACTCGTTAGTGATGTGGCCGATAATCATGCCGTTTTCTTTCTTCATTTCATGTTTGGTTTGGCTTGTTAATCACTTTTCTAGCGAACCATACCTGCCTTGTCCCGAATGGAGTACGGTTTCATTGTCAAAGTGTTTCTCTCAAGACAAAGTCGGCTTAAATATTTTCACGATTTCCCCCCTGTTCAGCAGTCCATCCAATTTCAACGATTAGAAATTTTGGGTTTTTTTTTCAGATCTGTGGGTCGAGACAATAAACGGGCAAAATCACTCTGTTGCGCAATGTCTGGAAGTTGAAGATTTGGGCAGTGCTCAAAATATTCTCATTCACACGACAGAGCAGTGCA